CGTACAAACATATTGTAATTTAAATGACTTATCTCAGGCTAGACCATTTGGTATGCAAAATGATTCTCAACAACTTATTAATGAACCCGTGTCTCAATTAGGCAACGAAAACAAAATACGAAAAGGAAAAAAAAGGATGTTGGTACCTTGGACAAAGGAACAAAAGGACGTAGTTACAAAATACTTTAAATTTCACATAAAAAATCACCAACCGCCTAAAAAAAAAGAATGTGAGAAACTAAAAGAACAACATGTAGATTTACTTAAGAATAAAGACTGGCTAAAAATAAACGTATTCGTCCAAAATATTTACTCTAAGGCTAAGAAATGAGAGAAGAAAATTCATTTTTTAAAATAGTATGTATTGTTTCAAATATTTTTACGTTGTTAATGCATACCAATGATTAAGATACTTATAATTATGTTTGAATTGATGATTAATACCCGGTTTCTGAGGTCCGTATCAGCTGTTTATTTATTCCATAACTTTATCTGATGTTTAGGTGTCATTAAACTTTGTTTAAAAATGATTTTACTGACATAACTTCAATTACATAAGCAAATGCCTTTAAAAGCATTTTTAAACAAAGAATTAAAAAGGTTGTCTGTTTGTCGAATTAATAACTAATGAAGAGATATCTAACAGCACCTCAGAAACCGGGCATGAGACTTTTAGTTGTAGCCACTGATTTATTTTAATTATAATATAAAAATACATGTTCCATTGTAATGAAGACTGATTGATGTTCATAATTAACTTTATTTTGTTATTAGGCAAAGGCAGAGCCCATTTATGTTTAATTATTTAGTATAACTAAAATTGTTAAAATGTCAGTTAAAATGTTTTGATTTTTATGTTTAGATACCCATTTTCTTTTACAAAATTTTAAATTGAAATAGAAGTTGCAGATGGAGTTAAGGTTGTAGATGGAGTTTACATTGCTTTTAAGTAGATATCTAAAACAAGAATGACAACATTGGGTTGATAAAAACCCTACCGATTTCTTTTAATTATAATATTAAAAAAAATACATGTTCCACTGGGTCTCTGAAAATCTAAGTGACAACTTAGATCTGGAGAGGGAGCGCAGGGCGCTTTCAGTCCGCTGCAATATGTTGGCTCGCAGGTTTGCAAGGTGTACAAAGGAGGTAAAGACGACGCTTTTTAAAGCATTCTGTCAAACTTTTTACACCTGCAGCCTGTGGGTCAGTTACACGGGGAAGGCATATAGCGCTTTGAGGGTGCAGTATAATAACGCGTTCAGGGTGTTGATGGGGCTGGGGCGGCGGTGTAGCGCCTCCGGCATGTTCTGTGAGGCGGGAGTGGATGGCTTTCATGCAATCATGCGGAAGCGATGCTACTCCATGCTGCAGCGCGTGAGCGCCAGCCCTAACATCATCCTGAACTCGGTTGCGCACCGGTGGGACAGCCCGGTAGTAAAATACTGGCTGCTCCTACACGCACCATATATTAGATTAGATCATAAGAATTACTAACATTAGATAATAAGAATTATGTTTGTATAGTAACAAAATATGGATCTTTGGTCTGAAATAAAAATTTTTTTATTTTATTTAAATTATTTTATTAAAAAATTATTTTATTTTTATTTTTTTTTATTGTAATGAAGACTGATTGATGTTCATAATTAAGTTTATTTTGTTATTAGGCAAGGCAGAGCAAATTTATGTTTATTATTACGTCAATGTTAAATTGCATTGATTTGTTGATTGAAAAGTTTTTATGTTTAGATACACATTTTATGTAAAATTTAAAATAAAACATTAAATGTTTTATATTACGATATGCCTTTTATTCCGTATGTTCACCTACATAAATATGACTACTATTAGATTATTCGTATCATGAAACTTCCTCTTTCTATCTTTGAACCTACATGTTCACACCAGCCTGTGCATTCGAGCTTACCTGTTTATACATACTTTCCTGTCCAACTCCGGACTTACCTGTCCACACCAGCCTGTGCATCTGA